AAGTCTGACTCTCAGAATTCAGATTTTTTTTTCTCAGAATTCTGACTTTTTTTCTCAGAATTCTGACTTTTTTTATTGTCAGAATTCAGTCAGAATTCTGAGATTAAAGTCAGAATTCTGGAAAAAAAAGTCAGAATTCTGAGATTAAAGTCAGAATTCTGAGAAAAAAGTCAGAATTCTGACTTTAATCTCAGAATTCTGACTGAATTCTGACAATAAAAAAAAAGTCAGAATTCTGAGAAAAAAAAAGTCAGAATTCTGACTTTATACTCAGAATTCTGACTTTTTTCTCAGAATTCTGACTTTAATCTCAGAATTCTGAGAAAAAGTGTGTGTGCTGTGTAACTCTGCAGCTGTACAATATTTTCAAAATTACTTTATTACTTTTTATTACTCTATTATTAAACATTAAACATAATAGAAATTATACAAGTTTCTTCTGAGAGTTGTTCTAGTTGCTGATAACTCATGGTTCTCCTGTAGCACTCAGGCTTATAGGAAGAGGAACCTAGAATGTAGGTACCATTACTTCATCTGAAACGATTGTCTTGGATTTGATACCTGTTGTTCTGAGTATTTAGTTTTGTAATGGTATTTAACACACGTCTAAAAGACACATGTTAAACTATTTCTGCTCATCTACAATCATCACAGGTTTAGTTGTGATAATTTCTAATTTAAACCATCCATCCATTTTTTGACACGCTTATCCCTGCTGGGGTCACTAGGGGTAGTGGTGCCAATCTCCAGCTGTCAATGGGCGAGAGGTGGGGTACATCTCAGTGTCACCAGTCCATCGCAGGGCAACACAGAGACGAACAGGACAAACAACCATTCACGCACACACAAGGAGAATTTAGAGAAGCAATTTATACTAACTGTCATGTTTTTGGACTGTGGGAAGAAGCCAAATGTAAATAATGCTGTATTTATTTTTTTTCTGTTTGTTTTTTTCTTGCTAAAAATGTGTATAAAATGTATTCTTTTTTCTTTTTTTTTACTTTAAAGCACAACTTTACCCATAACCAATAAAATCCAGTGCTCATAATTTCAATTTTATGCTTAAACAAGCCACTCTTTTGGGGTGGAAGCAAAGACGAGACACAGCGGCATGCAGAAGTCTTCTGAATACATATTTATTAGATAAATATTAGGCTGTCACATCATCTAACTACATACAGTTCTGCAAGACTAAAAATCACAATTAGTTTCTTTTATTTTATGACCAGTTTGGAGTATGAAATGATTGTACATACAATGTACAAACATAGAGACGATGACCACGTTGCATGAATCACCCTATCTTAGTATCATTTTCCAATTCATATCAAAATTTTAAAACAAATCATGGATTTTTGTTACAACTTAGGACCCCTCTCTTCCACCATAATCTGCCTAAACAGCCGGCTGGCTTTTGTCATTTGTGTTTGTAACCTTATTTTGTATATTTCTAATTTTGAGCACCTTAGGGTATGCCAATGAGACTAGAACACAAAGTAGTACATTTAAAAAATGGCTGTCCCGGTTGTCCCAAACAGAAAAGGGGAAAGTATCTTACAAAGAAACAGGGGTTGGGGGTAAAATGTTGAGATTACTGCCAAACACAAAATAATATGTTTTATATTTCATAGTCAGCCACTTCCAGTAGAGGTGTTGCAAGCTTTTTTATTATCATTATTATTATTCAGAAGAAACAAATGCACATCCCCAAAGGAAAATGAATACATTTCTGTCCACTTGTCTCTCTATATTAATTTACATATATACAGACATCCTTGGGACATTTTACAAGCCATTCCCTCTGCGCCTTTTCAGGCCAGATTGACGAATGTGCCCCTTTCTTCCTTCTCTTTATTTTTTTTTTATTTTCTATTTATTGGCTTTTTTTTTGTTTTTTTCTTAACAACATCCCCCAAAAGAAATGGCCCTTTTGGTGTGATTGTGCAACTAAACAGATGGGGTGCTGCCTTCAATGTTGAACATGAAATTGGAAAGAAACTAAGAGATGATGACATATTTTTAACAACAATTATTTGTTTGCTTGTTGGTTGCTTGAACAGGTACACATTTGAAAATAAAGTTTAGTTCTTGTTTATCAAGCTGAAAGAAATTGGATTTCTAGCCTTACAGATTCATAATAAAACAATTAAAAATAATTTACTCAAAAACAAAGAGAAAAATAAACAATAAAAACAGCAAATAAGAGGGGGATACAAATGCATATGGTCTCATGCTTTTTCGTAAAAAAGCCACATTTTCTATAACAAAAATATAAACAATATCAGGAATTTTTCATTAAAATATGCTTGTGATACATCTTTAAAATACCACGGTGTATGGACATTTAGCAACATGATATTCACATAGATTATTGTCACACTGAATGCCAGCTGATACCACATATCATATAAAAAAAAAGGTATCTCTGAACAAATGTTAACTTAAATTATGATAAGGAAGTAGAGATCGATTTGGATTAATTTGTAAAAAGAAAGTATTGCTGTGAGTTTGATTTCAGACAACTTGGGAAAGGAGATGTGAACAGAATAACTTTAAGCCAACGTAGGAAATTCGAGCACAAAGAAAAAAAAAAAGGACAACGTGCATCAGGGAGTAGCTTATGAGATGTTTGAAACTAGGCAAGAAGACGTTGCTCTGACGACGAGCGCGTGCGGTTAGGTCAGACAACGATAAACATTATCGAGATGATACAAAAATATTCACAATGATATTTACAGTACAATAGCATTTCTTAAAAAATAATACATATGCATACTGAACAGCAACTCTTCTCGAACATGAAATCAGAAAAACAAAATGGTTTATACCAATACTGCTTCAAAAATCACAGCAGCGATGGAAGAAACCATTGCTTGTCTCGCCATCACCTCCTGTGTACAAACACGCACGCATACAATCAGAGTCTCACAGAATATACAGACGTAGCTCCTCACTTTAGGATAGCATCTAAAAAAATTCTTGTATTTCAGTAATTCAACCTAAAAAGTAAGACTTATCTATTGAATGATGCTTTTTTTCTAAACTGTTGAATAAACAATTATTTGCGACAAAATTAACTGTATAACTGCAAGTATTTAAAAAAAGGAATACAATTTGCTTAAAGATATTCCAAAAAAGTAAAAAAAAATAAATCCACTGGACTGTTTTCCAAGTTTGAAGATGTTTCACTTCCCATCCCGGAAGCTTTCTTAATTCAAATTATCTGGAGTAGTGTTTGAGTTCCAGGTTTATAAAGTGGCCCAAACAGAAGCCTTGTAATGGCTTAGAAAACATGCAAATTGAAAAAATAGGTCCACCCCCTAGTAATGGCGAGTCATTGAGGTCTTTGTTAGCTTGTAAAACCCAATACAGGCCCATGCCTCTGAAAAGGGATTCAAATGCATGGACTAGTATCGGGTTTTGCAGGCCAACAACAATGACTCTCCATTACTAAGGGGTGGAGCTGCTTTTTCGGCTCCATTTGCATGTTTTCTAAGCCACAACAAGCCTTTTATTTGGGCCACTTTATAAATCTGGAACTCAAACGCTACTCCAGATATTTTGATTTGAGAAAGTTTTCTTATGCTCTGAGAAGGCTGCAAGTATCCGGTTCAATCCCCACAGCCGGCACTCTGGCTCTCTGAGTAAGACCCTCAACCTCACACTGCTCCCTGGGCGCTGCACAGAGGCAGCCCACTGCTCCCCAAGGGGATGGGTTAAATGCAGACAGTTAATTTCTCCATTCTGAGATCCATTATGTTCAATTTCTATTCTTTCTTCTATTTCTAAAACATCATTAAACTTGGAAAACAAAGTCCAATGGTTTGTTTTTTAGCTTTTCTTTTACTTTTTTGCAAAGACTATGACCTGGATGACTGAGAATCTTTACCAGCTTAGAGTAATGTTTAATATAAAGCTTAAAGTGACACTATAATAGAAATAGTATGGTAGATTCAAAAGCTGATCCTTCTAAGACACCGAAGCTGGAAGAATATTTTAAGAGTTAGACCTCTTATTGTGATGGGAACTTTAACAATGAGTACAGTGGCTCTTAAAAGATTGACTCTAGCCTCAGTCTATATGGAGTTATTCTCCATATATAAAAAAAAAATCACAATTCAATTTTTTTTAAGTCTGCAGTTGCTCAAGTTTCCATTAATATATTCGTTTTACTCTCTGAGAAGTCTAGTTTCTTTTTTGTTTTTTTAATGCAATTCTACGCTTTTCTGATAGAAAGTAATTTGGGATCTTTGTTATCTAAAAGAAAAGAAATACTAACAGTAAAAAAGAATAGAAAATATAAGTCTCACCTTTTAACTTAAATTGCTGGAATAAATGAACTTTCCGACGGTATTCTAACTGAATGAGACACACCCATGCACCCACAGGCTTACACAGGACCGAGCAAACACAAACATTTCCATTTTCTCCCTCTAGCTTTGGTGAGCAGTTTCTCAAAAGAACGATAGACAGCTTAATTATGCAGCAAATGGAGAAGGATGATAAAATAAATCAAAGAAAAACCATGTTTGTCTTAAATAAAATCAAAGTAATCTGTCAAAGAGGGAACCACTATTTGACAAAGGGCTTGGCACACATGCACTTTACAGACAACCTCAACAGCACAACTTCTTTAGTAGGAGAGATGGAAAACTGCAAAAAAAAATGCAGAAAATTAAGGCTCATGCAGAGCAGATGGAAGCAAATAACATGGCAGGAACTACAATCTCTTTTTTCGTCTATTGTGTATAAAATCCCTCATTTGTAAAGGAGGACTTGATGTTTAGAAGACCAGGTATTAATGCATACCTTCTGTTATTATAGACTACAAATACTCCCTGCTTCTGAAATAAGAACACATTACTACTGTAGACAAAATGGAAGCCAATCTGTTCCAAAAACTTTTTAAAACGCTGGCAGCAAATTCCTAGAAAACTGATCTTGTTCCTTATTGTAAAGAGGTTTTTTTTTGTTGTTTTTTTTTGCAGTGCTGAAATTTCTTGTGCTTTTCAGTGATGGACAAAACAGTGGGACGAACCAGACCAGCCAGGGAATGGAGCACTGACACCAGGAAGTTGTGGCCTCTCAGACTACAAAACAAAACACACACTGGTCAGAGAGCTTTTTTTTTTCTTTTCGTTTTTTTCCCCGCTTTATACAGTGAGTTCATTTTTTAGCTTTAAAAGAAAACCAAAAAAAAGTATTTTAGAAATGCTACAACATGTTATTGGTGAGCACACGTACACGCGTGTGGTGTAAAAATAAAATGAACTATACGTAGCTGCACAGTCAAGGTTATCATCGCAGGAAGTTGGTAGGGCGTGTCGCCAAATCCTGCCGTGTCCTTTAAGTTTCTTTTGAGATTCTTTGCAGTCAATCTGTGCTGGCGAATGAAAATTGTACAAGAGGAAGAAGAGAAAGGGAGTGCATCTTTGTGTTGATCGAGTTCTGAGTAACTGTGGCAGTTTCTCAGGGAAGCCTCAGGCGATCAGTAAAAGTTTAAGTGTGTGGGCGCCCGAAAGCCTCTCAGTTGTTTTCAAAGAGTGACAGAAGGTCATCGTTGCTGCTGCTGGGGAGATCTGGGGGATCCAGGTATGACAACAGTTCGTCTGGGTTAGCGAGGTCAGGAAGAAGCTGCAAAACACAAAACAGAGATTGCAAGAATTACCCAGATAGCTTAGCAAAAGTACTGGATTTTCCACAATTTACCCATAGACTTAAATGTATTTATGTGATAGAAAAACACAAATTGATGATTTTTCATATATTTTAAGAATAAAAATCTCAAAAGCGCATTTTGGCCCTCTGGTTTGACTGAACCATTCTAACACATGGATACAGTTCCTATGTAGGTCTAGTTCGAAGTTTATTGTCCTTTGGCTCTAAATTCTCACAGCTTGTAACTGGTTTGCTTCAAGTGTTGCCCTGTACTTATCTTACCTGGAGATGGTTCAAAGTGATGCACACAGTAAATTTTGCAGTGTAAAAGTAACACTTTAAGAGTGCATTTGGTCCCACTTGGAATTAGCGTTAAATTAGAACGCTACGTAGTGCATATCTTACTCCAATTGTTGTTGGAATAACTCTTAAAGAATCAATGTACTTTGAGACAACATATCTAACAATGCGGAATTGACAGTGCACACTCTTAGCTTTACATGCATCACTAATGTTGGTGTTGTACAGAAAATTTCCCCATTTTAGTGGAGAATCTCTGCTCCTCAGAGTAATCATGGTTGTCTCGACTGCTTTCGTATCTAAATCTGTCAGTCTAGATCAGTGTTTCTCAACCTTATTTTACTTGTTTACCCCTTCAGGTATTTTTCTTACCATGAGTTCCCCTCTCAGTCAAATGTATTGAAGATTGTCGAAAATTGGAACGTAAAATAACTGATTATAAAGTAAAAACTATTTTACTTAATCTTTTGGTTTGAGCTTTTATCTCTAAGGCATTTTATGCTTTTCATCTCAAATAGGAAAAAAGCATAAGTATGTTGCCTGGAAGTTAGTAAGGAAGTGAAATACATCCAAAATAAAATCATATTATAAAACTGTATTTAGAAAACTGTAACTCCTCTGAGAAACTCCCTTTTAATCACATTTAAACACGAGCTCTGTGATAACTCACTCGTATTCTCAACAAACCTTAGAGGCCTTAATGAATCAGATGGAATCCATTCTATGGTGTTAGCATTTCAAATTCAATTCCAATGAAATACAATAAAATTTGTGGTTAGAATGCAACAAAATGTAAAAATGCTCCAGTAGCACAGATTTTTCCAGGACTCACTTCTAATGAAGGCTCAGGCATGTCTGACCCCACTTGGCTGTCCAGACTGCTGGATGGATTGAAGGCCAGGTCAGAATGGGGGTGGTTGTTGGAGGTGGGCTGTTGCTGCTGTGCTTGCTGCTGCTGAGGCGGCGGTGCTTGCCGTGAGGCCTGAGGAGGCCCGCTGTGGTGTAGCTGCTGCCCTGATTGGCTCCCGGGGTGCGGAGACGGATGTAAGCTCTGCTGCAATGGGCCGTGCGTCTGGTCAGGCCCAGCAGAATGAGGTATCTATTCAAAGAGGTATATGATGAATATGACATGCCAGCTGCTTGTTAGTTAATATAGCAGTACTATTACATTAACCTTATATAAAAACATATGAAACAATATAAAACTAGTAACAATTTTGAAATTTTTTTTACATTCATATTTATTAATTAAATATTTGCTAGTAATGTTGAATATCATCTACTGTATTTCGTTCTTAAAGTAAAAGTCTTTAAAGCCAATATAGCAATCAAACCTTTATCTTATTTACAGCAGGATATTTCCACTTTTACCCAGCAAAAACTATCTAGAAATAAGTAAACATTTCTTAAATGAAGTGTATTTAGCCTTAATTTGAGCACGTAAATAAGATTATTTGCCAATAGAAAGAGTTTTTTTCATCTTAAAATAAGATAATCTGATAATATGCACTTAAAATAAGACAATGCAATTGTTTTTTAAATATAAATGACCCTTTTCCATTGGCAAAGTGTCTCATTTACCTCCTTAAATAAAAAAAGCACTTATTTTAAGAAAAAGGACTTTTGAGATTTTAATTTTTGCAGTGTACTTTCATAATTTTTTCTAGGTGAAGAACAGAAATAATTTCTATCAACCAAGTGAAGCAGATGAGCAACCCCCAAAATGTTAGCATTACTTCTACTCAGCAGAAAAATGTCAAAGGTTTCATCCAAGAGAGAAACTTATTATCACAGTGCCCCCTCCTGTTCTGAACCGGGCAGAAAGTCACATTGCCCATATCACAAACACTACTGATTGTAACTTTATTATAACAGAGAATTTCAGCAACATATTACACAATAAAACAATGATTTAAAAAGAGTTAAATTTTATGTTATTGGTTTATATTAATTTAAATGCTGATTAGAATGTCACAGGTTTAACAAAAAATATAGACCAGGTCACAAATCTATGCGCTGTGGTGAAAAAATGTTATTAATGTATATATCTGATGACATATATCATATGACTTATATCTTATGATTGAGAACTTGTAGTACAAAATTATTAGAATTCTTCAATTACCGGTAAGATAAAAAAGTTTGGAAGACTCACTGATTCAGGCATGTTGTGGGATAGAGGTTTGTCTTGTGTCATCAGGCTATTCGGTATGTCGGGTGGGTGAGACAGCTGAGGACCGTGCATGAAGTCGTTCATTGACGTACCGCCTGGGGCGCTGTGGGGGAACTCAAAGCTCCCAGGTCCTTGGTAATTGTTACCTAAACACACAAATAACAAATCTAAACACAAAAGGAAATTTAAAAAGAGTTTCACATAACATCATTTTTAGAGGCCCAACTACCTTGGCTGCCGTATTCGCTGTTGTTGCCACCTTGGCCAGAAGGCATTGACAGGTACGGCGAGGGTCCGGGGCCAAGTTGAGCGATCATATCCATCACGTTGGGCATGATCATTTGACTGGGACTCATCGTCTTAAACCTCTTTGCCAGCGGCCCGTCTGGATCCTCTTTAATGTGGATATCAGATTTGATCGCCACTGGCCGCCAACTACATGTTGGGTCGATTGTGACTTCCTCAAACTCAGAGCTGGTGGAGAGTGGTCAGAGTCAAATGACAGGGATCCAAAAAAATCAGGGTAGCTCATTTATTATGTAAAATGTAGTTGAATCTGCTTACTTCTGAATGGCGTTCAAGATTCCCCACATGTACTGGTCTACTTCCAGTCCTTCCAACAACGCTGTTTTACTGAAGAGAGATAAGAGAGGTTTAGAGGAATTTCATCTGAAAACAGGCATAATCAAATGTTGATTTAAAGAAGATAAACATACTTGCATACAGGACACCGCCACGTCCCCCGCTCACAGTTCAGTTGTAGATAGGATTCCAAATCAAAACACTAGATAAAAGAAACAATTCACGTGTCTCAGATTATTTTATTTTCTCCCATTTGCTTTCATTAGGTTTTACCACATCTGTCTCACCTGTACATGTTTGCAGTCATGCCCCCGTGCTGGAAGTTGTATTCGTCGGAAAGTGATCGGACATTTGAGGGAAACCTTGATGGCTGTTTGCTCGACTCCATCCTCCCCGTTGAGGGTGGCGTTCCCTGTTGATGCGGCCACGCTGCTGAAGTTCCTCTTGACTTTAAAGATGGAAGTAGAAGGAAAATAAAGTGTATAAACTCAAAAAGCACAATGAAAAGGTGCGGTCAATTAAGGTGCGAATTGTAGAAGTGTAGATATACCTTTGGTGATGCAGTGCTCTGCGGGCAGCAGCCTCTTCTTTAGGAGGCCCTGCAGGACGGAGCGGACTGACGGCCTGTGAACCAGCTGCAGCACGAACAGGTGCGACTGTAGAAAGGAACACCAGGATAACCATTTGAATGAATGAGCCCACATTTCAATTCATTCGGGTTCTGTTGCAAATTACTGGCATTTAGCTCATAAAAAATGACAAATGTCAAATCCTAATCAATGCCAAATAATTCTAAGGGAAACCCAGTTTGATATCTTTAGATAAAACTAAGATGGATTTTGCTTCATTGGACTTAAATCAGAAAAAAAAAAAAATAAACACTTTAAAAATTTGCTATGGTGAGGAGTAACTGAAACATGGTTTGTACAAAACATCCCATAGCTGAGTTCTTGGTTATGTCCAAAAAAAACATGTACAAAAGTATCAATAAAAGGTACACAATTGATCCCTTTAATGACAACCTTAAGGAAAAACAATATAAAATACTCTATGACACTGTACCTGAACAAAACTGTTTTGTTGGGTTTGCAAAAATTTGGTATTTTGTTTGTCCGATATAGAAATGCAACATTAATATAATAAGTGTGGATCTTGTAAATGGAGAATCACTAGAGCAACAATTATCTAACAATTTTAGTGTCAGTATATACTATATCCTGATGCTTAATGTAATGGTCACTTCTCCATGTCTGTATGATGTATATTGAGGTTAAAACATCTTCCATTTAACAGTTGTGTATAAGTGGTTGCAGTTTTCACATGAACATTATAACCAGATGAAGAGTTTCAAACAGGATGTTTGGGAACCCCAGGAACAGGAGAACAAATGCAAATTAGACTTTTTTTATTTCTTTATGAGCAAATCCATTATTTGAGAGAAATAAGATCTTTTCAAATAATCCGGATTCATCTGAAAGACATTTCTTGTTTTATTTTTAATGCATAAACCTTTTCTTTAGCTTATTCTGCATTCAACTTTACTTACACAGCAGCAGGCGGTCACAGTGATCTGGATCGTGTTCCTTCCTGGCTGGCACACGTGTTTCAAGTGCAAAGGTTTGTGCGACGTCTTGTTGTCACCTCGCTCTATAGTGAGCGGTGTGGCGTTGACACTGACTTGGACAGATGCTGGCCAGTTAGTGTTCATCTGACGGTCTTCGTGGTGGTAACATTTAAACTGTAGCTCCAGGTCCGACCTGCAGACAAATGGCAATTCTTGTTTTATTAACAGCATGTCATACACATCTTATGCCCTTCCACACTTAAATTCACAAAATATTTCCTATGTTTCTATACCAATCTGGGCAAATTGGTAAGCAATGTGTTCTTATTATCTGTTGGTTCCTTAAAATGAAAAAAAAAAAATGCATTAGTTTGGAAAGATTTCTTCATTGTGTTATAGGGCCATTTTACTTCTTTTATGGCTACTAGACTATTATAATCGCAGCTATTACAAATATAAATATATTACTGGTATACTTATAACATGTAGGATGGGGTAATCAAGATTAAAGAAATATCTTTTTGACTTTAAGATACAATTATTTTAAGTGGCTACACATTTAAGATCCAGTCAAGAATCATGGGTGAGGGCCACCTGAATTTAAAGCTGTCTGAATACCAAACCAGAATTAAAACTGACATTTGTTTGTTACTTAGCAGATAAATGTGGATTTGGTCAGTGCACTATTGATAGATAAATGTTAAATCCAACTCTATATAACTCTTTTTTTTATCCTAATCCAGTCTACTTGTCTTTTCCAGACCTGGGTTAGGATAACAGCACAGAGAAAATTGTTCATTGAGTCTTTTAGTACCACTGGGTATTACCTCCACATGAGTGTTTGGTGCACGGAGGGCCGTAAGTGGAAGACATGGTTGCTCACAGCCAGGTTATGTTCCAGCCTGAAGGGCTCTAAGACGACACCATCCCGCACAGGAAACGTCAACCGTAGTTCCTCATTGTGGTTGGCTAAATTAGAGTAGAAAGACATAAGATAGGATCATGAAAAACATCCAGTACTGTTTGACTATTTTTATTTATTTTTTTTCAGTTACTGACCAGGAGGAGGAGGGAGAGCAGTTATATTTGGTTTGATGTCTGGAGGGAAGGGTGGCTTCACATCCTGGTTTGGCGACAGGTATGGAGGGATGTTACTACCTGGAGTCATTGGAGGGGTGGGGTTGCCCGGCACTGGGGAGTGGGGGTAGTTGCCCACTGGTCTGGGAGGCTGAGCAAAAAAAAAAAAATTATTTAACTCAGATTTTCCCAGAGAGATTAGCATGATAGTAAAATTAGAAATTGGAATAAAAGCTCACTTACTCCATTCATGTTACCCTGGTTATACTGGTAGCCACTTCCAGAGAAGTTATTTGTTTGGCCATTGAATGGCGGCTCTTGCTGTAATTACACAAATTCAATTTATAGTACTGCATTCTGTGTTTGGGCCGTTAATCATCACATATTGAGCAAAAAGCACCTTAAAGTACTGGCCCATGGGGCCGCCATGTGGGGGATATTGGCCTTGCAGCTGCTGTCCTGGAATCCTCTGGCTGGGGTAGCTGGGGGATGGCAGTGGTCTAGAGGCATTAGGTGTGGGGTATTGCCCCTGCGGATTGGGGAACTGGCTGTTTGGTCCATACTGCTGCCCACCATAGTTTGGCTGAGGATGAGAACACATTATAAGAAATGTATTTAAATAGAAAAATTGAGATAAATGTTGAATTAAGTGTTGAAAGATCCCCTCACCTCTCCTAGGTATGGCCTTTTCATGCCCTGCATACCCATGCCCTGAGGCCTGGCTCCAGCGTAGCCATGCTGGGGCATCCTTTGGCCATGGGCCCCAAAAGGCCCCATGCCTTGACCTCTGGGTTGGTTCATTCCCATTGGAGACCCACTCATGTTGGATGCATTCATGCCTGCACCCATGTTTCCAGGCAAAGATGGAGGGCCTCTGGGTCCTGGCTGATTAATGAACTGGCTGTTGTATGCCTGGTTGGGTCCCATCTGGAAAGATGAACTCATCTGGAAAACAAAATGGTCTCAGTCAACCACCTTGAATTTATATTTTTCAAATAAATTGTGGAAGACATTAAAATCTGAAAACCAAAAGGGAAAGAACTACCTGTACCTTTTAAGAACTTTTTAATGAACTTCCAAGCGACATCCTAGAACTACAGGTTAACACCTGGTACATAAAGGTCACTTTCAAAAACCTTCATGAAACTTCCAAGTTGCTTTGAGTACACTTAGAGGGAACCTCTTAGGCCTTGGCAAAAGATGGATTAAATTAATTAATTCATAAAATGTGTTTAGTTGTGGACAATTTGGAAAAAATTGTATTGATTTTTTTTACAACAGTGCATTTTTGGCTCCCCGGAGTTTCTGTAGCAGCAGGATTGTTATCAGTTTGGCAAGCGACAATGTCACACAAACAGCAAATGACATCATCACTACAGGTGAGTGAGAAGTTTGTTTATAAGTTAGTTTATTTTATTTATTTTTTTATTTTTATTTTTTGCGGGAGGGGCAAATAAACTTGTTAATATTTCATAGTATAGTATATATGAATATATCTCATAGTATATATAATACCAGCAATAACTCTGACTTCTATGATGTGTCTTTTGGGTCTTAACAGAGCACATTACTACCCAAACACAAGTTTAGTAGGATGGAGGATGGGAGTTACATGATTCAGCTGCAGGCAAGATAGCAAAAATGGCAGTGAACGCAAGTTTCACGGCAAGGTTTATTTAAATGCGCTTGTATTAGAAGAAATTGTGTTGTGTATTGAAATGCCTAATTTAAAACGGTCAGAAAACAGCTAACAAGTTAACTTTTAACGCAGTAGTGATCCAGCCGAATATGAAAAATGCCAGTGTCTCCAGGATGAACAAACCCACACTAACCGACAAGAGGTCACTTTCTAGAAGTTATATAATACTGAACTGAATTTACGGGTTCTGTTTTTGTAACAAGCAACCATGCAGGTAACGTTTGGACTTCAGCAAAAACATTATCTGACTTTTTGTTGTTTTGGTCTTTGACTCGTTTGGGGATTTTAATACCCTTTACAGTACTAAACCTATATTCACTTCATGTAGTGAATTTAGGTTTAGTACTGTTCTAGTACCTTGTTCTAGGACTCTCAGTAGTGATAGAAATGTGCCTACGCACATGACTAATTAGGATGAAAAACACAATCCAAATTTAAGTTAAATGTTGCCTTCAGTAGTATGCTTTGTCTCACCGGTCCATACTGGTTCATGTCTTTGTTCTGGGTCTCCTGCAAGGCTGCTACAGTTGCTGTGGCAGTGGCAGTTGCAGTGGCTGCAGCTGCGGCGACTGCAGCGGCTGCAGCAGCAGCAGCTGGCTGGGTGAAATCTGACGGAGGACGGGAGTTAGGAGGGATCCCGATCCCACCAGGTCCAGCATTTGGCCCTCCAGGGTAACTTAAACAACAAGCAACCATAATACCACTTAATACAAGTTACATTTTCTAAATAAGACAATATCAAAAAGTTTGCTGTCCACTTACTTGCCACCGTAACCTCCACCTCCCGGGTAGTTGGGTCGTCCGTACATACCCTGCTGCATGTAGCCTTGATTTGAGTTGCCTTTGTTTGGAAACTGCTGCTGTGGACCAGGAAACTGAGGAGAGTTCATGCCTGGATTGCTACCAGACATCCCCGAGGTCAAAGGATTACCCCCAGGGTTCATGGGATTGTTATTGTTGGCCATGGGATTCCCTAACACCTGTTGGAAAATGACATGAAGTCAGGTTTCGATAATATAAAATGAGATTTTGCTCAAGTCCTTCCAACAGGGACAGAGTTGTACCTGGCTCTGTGACGTGTTGGTCACGCCCCAGACAGTGGTTACCACGGACACCGAACCTGGCTGATTGGTGTTTTGCTGCCAGGGAACTGAATCGTATGGAAAAGAGCCATCTCTGTGGAGGAAGGACACAAACACATCACATATCCAGCTTCACAGGTAATACTAATGTTGAATGCAAACTGCTAGTAAAAGCAAAGCAATATAAACACCAACCCATGTGAGAGGCCTGGTTTTATGGAGCCCATTGGGGGCTGCATGGGGACTTTTCCCGGAGGCTCGTTTTGCCTGTTCTTCTGATGACGGAGGAGGAGGAGGCGTCCCAGTTCCTCACACCAAGAGGACAACAGCGCTGAGGAGAGAGAAGAGGGAAAGACTATAACACACATATTTATTCAGATGATAGGATTACCCTCTGTATAAAACCACTCAGGTTACTTAGTAAAATATAGACCTACTGGTCATTTTACCCCTTATGCTATTTCCTCTATGTTTGTGCCTAATGTCTTTAAACCACTCTACGTTATTGGGGGACTTCTGAAACGAAATACTGCGATTGATTTTTATTAGGGGTTATAAGGAAAAAGGAGGAGGGATACAAAATACACGCCAAACTTTTGAGACATATAATTTTAGGGGGAAAAAAATTCTTGAATCCTTTGTTTTCGTTCCATAAAATCAGATAAAATACAAAGACATTTTTGGTTGCAGGGGCGTGAATACTTTCTTTACGTACTGTAAGTAGGACTACATTATCAGTTTAATGACAGGGATATCACAATCAGTTAAACTGATGTCTTATCACAATTAGCCACAAATAATTATTTCAAAGGTTCTTTAGGATATTAAAACCAAATCTCTCCAACATTAAGAAATATAATGAAAGACTTTAGCTCAAGGAAAAATCATGGCTGTAATTACTCATCATGGCCACTAGAGTTCAGTCTGAGTCTGTTTTTTCCGTCCCAACAACCACACGTTTTGACAGCCGACACAGTCTGTTGGACCATCATATGCTTTCCATCTGCAGTAAATGTTTATGTACAAAACTGTCCCTTGTCTTCTTTCCTCCTTCTGGTTCAAGTAGCTCATATCTGCAACATTAAAAAAGCGCATTCCCTATGAAAGGATGGTAGCCTCCACTCCCTGTGATTCACACCACTTCAAGGCTTGAGGGTGGATGTGGGGAAGAGTGATTTTAACTGCAGTTCATGCCATAATAATAATAATAAATAAACCATACCAGTGTGACAGCACACTGTTCAGGTTGTCCTTGTATCCACAGCTCACATAGGTTGATTTGCACATACTGCCTTCACATTAAAATGGGGCTCAATAAGTCTTCAACAGAAGAGTCACCGGGGCTAATGGGGTTGATAGAAGGGCTGAGCTAACCAAATCTAAAGACTGCTATCACAAGCATGGTAACCCAGGTATGTGGCCACACATGGCTGCTTGCAAACACAGCAGGAGCTTTACCAACAGTGTACAGTGCACAGATAAATAGGGCACAAGATGTCCTCTGACGCTGAGTTTCTGCATCGACACACAAGTGTGCTGCATCACCCCCCTCCACCCCCCTAAAAGGCACCTCCTATCCTTTCATTTAAACACTGAGCACACCAGCCTCACTCTGTGTAAGGACGAGGGCTGGAATACAAAAGACGTGTACAGATGGTGCCAGCAGTCTCCCTGCTCTCCCTCCCGCTTTAAAAGCAGCACGGGGCTCAGGCACAGAGGCAGCTGGGTTTTTCCTCCTCCTTATCCTCCCCTCTTTTCCTCTTGCCTGTTCTTTGCAAGGCAGGTGCCAGGAGACAGGCTGTGCAGCCTCTCTGGAGAATTAATCGGACTTTAGCACGGCTGTGCTCTGGCTGACAGAAAAGGCCGCTCAGGTGCACTTTAACTAAACACATCGCAGTTATAGGCAATTGCAACTTCCTCTCACTTAACTGCAACCTGATCTAAGTTCAGCTATTAGATTATTCCCCTCTATGTCAGCATGTCCTGCAGTGTTTTTGCTGCACCATCTCTATCCTTCTGATGGGGAGAGTTTTTCAGTTCAAGAGCCTGGCAACCAGCCAGCATGTTACAGCTCAATTAGGTCCCATTATTCACTTCCAACAAGGGATAACTTGCACTTCTTCATATTGATAAACAAGTCTTCTAAATTTATCAACTCTGGGTCAATTTATAGGATGGAAGCATATGGAAATGCGGTGGTATGAAATGGGGCAATACTGTAGGAAACCTCCAAGTGCTCTAATCAGTTTTTAAAGCAGTTACAAGATCTTTCCTGGCAGAAATGGATAAATGCATCGGCCATATGACACATCCCACTGACTTTTGTAAGGCACTTAACTGTAACATACACAAAAAGAACAACAGTGCAGATATACAGGTGCTGGTCATAAAATTAGAATATCATGAAAAAGTAGATTGATTTCAGTAATTCCATTTAAAAAGTGAAACTTGTATATTATATTCATACATTACATACAAACTCATATATTTCAGATGTTTATTTTGTTTAATTTTGATGATTACAAATGACAACAAATGAAAATCTCAAATTCATCATATCAGAAAATTAGAATATTACTGAAGACCAATAAAAACAAAGGATTTATAGAAATGTTGGCCAACTGAAAAGTATGAACATGAAAAGTATGAGCATGTACAGCACTCAGTATTTAGTTGGGCCTCCTTTGGCCTGTATTACTGCAGCAATGCGGCGTGGCATGGAGTCGATCAGTCTGTGGCACTGCTCAGGTGTTATGATAGCCCAGGTTGCTCTAATAGTGGCTTTTAGCTCTTCTGAATTGTTGGGTCTGGTGTATTGCATCTTCTTCTTCACAATACCCCATAGATTTTCTATGGGGTTAAGGTCAGGAGAGTTTGCTGGCCAATTAAGAACAGGGATACCATGGTCCTTCAACCAGGTACTGGTAGCTTTGGCACTGTGTGCAGGTGCCAAGTCCTGTTGGAAAATGAAATCTGCATCTCCAAAAAGTTGGTCAGCTGCAGGAAGCATGAAGTGCTCTAAAACTTCCTGGTATGTGGCTGCGTTGACCCTGGACCTCAGAAAACACAATGGACCAACACCAGCAGATGACATGGCACCCCAAACCATCACTGACTGTGGAAACTTTACACTGGACTTCAAGCAACGTGGATGAAGTGCCTCTCTTCTTTTCCTCCAGACTCTGGGACCTTGATTTCCAAAGGAAATGAAAAATTTACTTTCATCAGAGAACATGACTTTGGACCACTCACCAGCAGTCCAGTCCTGTTTCTCTTTAGCCCAGGCAAGACGCTTCTGACGCTGTCTGTGGTTCAAGAGTGGCTTGACACAAGGAATGCGACAGCAGAAACCCATGTCTTTCATACGTCTGTGTGTGGTGGTTCTTGAAGCACTCACTCCAGCTGCAGTCCACTCTTTGTGAATCTCCCCCACATTTTTGAAGGGGTTTTGTTTCACAATCCTCTCCAGGGTGCGGTTATCTCTCTTGCTTGTACACTTTTTTCGACCACATCTTTTCCTTCCCTTCGCCTCTCTATTAATGTGCTTGGACACTGAGCTCTGTGAACAGCCAGCCTCTTTAGCGATGACCTTTTGTGTCTTGCCCTCCTTGTGCAAGGTGTCGATGGTCGTCTTTTGGACAACTGTCAAGTCAGCAGTCTTCCCCATGATTGTGTAGCCTATAGAACTAGACTGAAAGACCATTTAAAGGCTTTTGCAGGTGGTTTGAGTTAATTAGCTGATTAGAGTGTGGCACCAGGGGCCATCAATTTTGAACCTTTTCACAATATTCTAATTTTCTGATATGATGAATTTGAGATTTTCATTTGTTGTCATTTGTAATCATCAAAATTAAACAAAATAAACATCTGAAATATATGAGTTTGTATGTAATGTATGAATATAATATACAAGTTTCACTTTTTAAATGGAATTACTGAAATCAATCTACTTTTTCATGATATTCTAATTTTATGACCAGCACCTGTATGAAATGGCGAAGGGTTGAAACAACTATTGCATTAAAATGTCAACATGGAGTGTTGACAATTTTGCTGTTAATAAATTTGCATTTTTGGTCATAATCTAGCATGTTACATAAGTTGGTTTCTACAGTAGATTATTTAATATCAAGCATCCATTAATTTATTTCTATAATATACACCTGGTCTACAATAAGAAAATGCGCTTCTATGAATAATGAAATGTATCTAACTGCAGGAGGGCTTTAGTTGATAAGATGCCATAATCTTAGAATGCTCAAAATGAACATTTTAACTTTAGGCATTAGGGCATCTTTGGAATCTAGCATCAAATCATTTTGAATGAACAGACTGAGAAGTGATGCACTTATTTGTAAAGACAAGGCCACATTTCGGCCCTCTAGATTAAATCAAAGAGAATCATACCTGTTTTTTTTGCCTAATAACAACGTTTAGCTTAGTTAGCTATAATGTTTAAGGGGCGCTCAGACCCCCATAAAGCAGTGCTTGGATCAAATGACTCATTCAGCGACAGGTCTGACCTATTTAAGTTTACACAGGCACGTTTTTGAGAAGGGTGGCCTAAATGAGGCAATACTATCCACCAAGTGCTCAACATTGACCTGAAAAATCATTGAATATATATTAAATTAAGCTCATACTAGGGGGGAAATTTTAACAGTTTTTTCTTTAAGAATCAACTGACCATAATTACAGTAGTAACATAATTTTTAAATAAACAAAATTAATACCGGTATATTTATTCATGAAAATGCTGTTAAGATTCACTCATGGAGGAAATGCAGTTTCATGGGGCAAAAAAATGGAAGTTGAATGGTACTAAATTGCAACAGCTAGCTGTGAATTGATCCACCGCCATCAGAGTGAGATTCTCTGGCCAATTTTACAGCCAACAAGAGGCTGTCTACTCATGGACTGAATGATTCATCGCTTTAAGAAGAATTATTCTGCACTACTGCTGAATCAAAGTCTTATCAAAACTCAGCTTAGCTACCACCTCCACTAAGCACCTGCTAGTTTGAATGTGCTCTTGTGTCATTCACTTGGAGGATTAACTTCAGGCATCAAACAACAACAGGAGAAACAGACAATCATTTAACAACTAAAATCCAAATTGTCATTATTTCTTCATGACAGCAATTCTCTGGCTAATGGACAAAAAATGGATTCTTCAAAACAGACCCCTCCCCAATCAAAAACAAAGAAGAAAGACACGGAAGGCATTTCAAATGACTTTTTGCCTTTCCATTTAACAACCAAAACTGGAAATTATTGACTCAGGTGTATGGTTTCCATATGACAGTTTAAAACTTGTGCTTTGCCATGTTT